CAAAATTAAATGAAACCATGTGTCTGAAGATGCTTTAAAAACTATAAGGATTTATTTAAAGTGCCTGGGACTTTTGGACGATGAGGATGACTGTGATGATAGTGATGATGATGATGATTACTGTCATATAATGAAGGACAAGTTCAGTTCTCTATAGGATGTGAGATGAGGAGAATTTTCCAGTAGAGATCAAATGATGCTGGTATCACCTGTTGTTGGGTGGAGTAGACCTGGATTTGGTACTGGACCCACTGGCTTCCAGGATGACTTAGCTGATCTAGAAGTTTGAGTTTGGTGAGGATGAAGCTTAAGCCAGGGTAGCAGCTGTGTTCCTTCTTGAAAGAGTCCCAGGAAATATTTCCTTAGATCTGCCAGAAAGGGTCTCCCTTTCGCCCAAGAAAGGGAGGGTCTGTTTCCTCATTCCACCCCTGGCAACTCTAACTCGAACTTCACTATTTTGAAATAGCTCTGGCCAGCTGCTTGGTAAGAGTAGGGGGCTAGATAGCAATCTCACTGAGTGCATGTTCCCTGAGCATATCAGTTTAGGGTGGCAAATAGGTCACGGCCATGTTGGTGTCATTGAGTCAGACATCAGCTATTAATTTAATTGTCAGCAGCAGAGTTCTTGGACTGACAGAGACAAATCCATTGAACTCAGTAGCATCAGGCCAGAGTATGGCTGGGAGGACCTGGCTGACACTCTGACACCTTTGATGGATATCAGTCCTGCTTGATCTCTAGTGTCCTTCAGTGTTGAGGACAGGAGGTGTTTGTCATGAAGATGTGACTCACATGAACTGCTGGTTCTATATACATCTATTCTAGAAAAAAACACTGTCATTTCTCCAAAGAATGGGACATGTCCTCTGGAACTACAAACTGTCCCATCATTAGAGACACCCTGGCACCTGAGACCAATATAGAGAATTGTGAAGCATGATCTTTTCCTTCCATACAATGCATTTAATCTCTTTTATTTTCCTTGTGTTCTCTTCCCCTTATCCCCATGGCATTAAATGAGAGAAAATATGTGGGAAAATACCATGCAAATGCATTCATTTTATCACCCATTCACTCATTTATTCAACACATACGTATTGACTATGTGCCAGGCACTGTATTAGGACTTACCAATGCAATGGAAACAGATATTCGGTATCATGGGACTTGCATTCTAGGAGCAGAAACAGACAAAAACCTACACAGAAGAGCAATGGAAATAATCTTGTACTGAAGTGAGTATTTGGGAGGAAATAAACCAGGGCAGAGGTAGAGAAAGATAGAAAGGATCTACTTAGTTAGGGAGGCAAAGGAGGACTCCTTTGCCAGGAACCAAAAGAAAAGAAGGAACCTGCACTACTAGAGAGGAGCATTTTAGATAGAAGAGACAGTGTGGGCAAAGGCCAATGCAGAAGAACCAGATGTGTTCAAGATGTGGAATATGGCCAGTGTAACTGCAGCGTGGCAAATGAAGGGAGGGCTGGCATGTATGGGTAGCCAGCAGGGAGAACACAGACTCTGGAGTCAGATACAATGGGTTTGAATCCCAGCTCTGTCCATGAACTAACTGAATGATCTTGGGCAGGCACTTAACCACTCTGTACCTCAGTTTTCTTATCTGGAAAATGGGGACAATAGTATTTATATCTTGGGTTATCATAATGATGAAATGGGATAAAGCATTGATTTTGTCCAAGTCTTCTAAGAAGCAGATGCCAAGGCAAAATTAGGTGTGCAGCAGATTAATTGGGAGAAAGGTCTTGAAGGAAAAAATGTGAGGGAGGGTCTTCAGATCTCCAGGCAGGTCTGACACCTTCAGAGAAGAGCAGAAGGAAGGTATTTCAAGAAAGATTTGGCCAGGCTGTAAGGGAGCCCTTGAGCTAATTATGTTTATTGGAAGAATCTCACAACTCACAGGATTGGCTGAAGAGTGGTATCACTGCTTTGCCCATTCATTGGCTGGGAACTAGCGAGGCAGAAGCATGGTTTTGCTGTGGACTC